GTCATGCCCCCTTCCTTAGGACAGGGCTTGAGGTAGAAGCTGCTGTTATTCATTTATTTTTCAAAAAATGGAGTCACACCAGTTTCTCAGCCCCACTCCCGGGGCCAGGAGAGGAGGGGCGTGTGTGCAGGAAGGTCCCAGCAGGGCTGCCCAGGGCCCTGTGAAGCTCAGGGCAGAGCTGTCGAGGGAGTCAGCTGAGAGGGGCCAGGTGCCCGGAGCCTCGGTGACAGAGGGTCAGAGGGCATGGGTGATAGAACCGGAGGCTGAAGTAGGGCCGCAGGGGGCTGGAGAAGGTGGCCTGGGGGAAGTGTAATGTGGGACCCACCTGCCCCCTTATAGAAGGAGACACTCCCAGACTCGTGGTCCAGAAGATCCCCACCCGGGTAGGGGGGCAGTTCAGGGGGATGGAGGGATGGGACGGCAGGAGAGGGCCCAATGCTTACTGGCACACCATCCCAGGGCCCGGAATCTGCTTGAGGTGACTCTTGGATTCCCCACGCCTTTCCACAACTTTCCTCACAAACTCCAAGCCCCCAGAAAGTCCGGTCCTCCACCTCCACTTCCTGGTATTGTCTCCCTGAAGAGAAGAGCTACTGGCCCAGCACACCAGGGTCACACGGAAACGCCCAGGGTTCTAGGGGCACGCCGCCCGGGAATTTCACTCTGCTTCACACTCCGGGTAGACTGTGTCTGGGTCCCGAGTCACAGCAGCTGCGGAGGGAAGAGGGGAGGAGCTGGTGCCAGCCGCTCTGCATCTCAGGGCCCTGGAGGATGGGGGGGGGGGAAGAGAACAGAAGAGCTGACCTAACCCATGGATTCCCTCCCTCCTGCTCAGAACAGCTGGAGTGAGAAGGCTCTCAAATGTCCCCTGACTCAAAGAGCCACGGGAGAGCTCAGACGCTTTTACCAGGAGCAGATATTCCAGGTCTCCCAGCTTCCCCTGGGAGAAGGGAAGCTGCCCAGGCATCCCCCCCCCATGCTGGCTCACCCCCTGCAGCATTTGGTACAAAACACTCACTGCCACTCACTACCGCCTCATCTTTCTTCTCTACCGGACCAGGACCCCAGATGGCAGGACAAAGGTTATCTTTGATCCTCTCGGAGCCAGGCATGACAGTGCCAGTCTCTGAAGACTTTTCTTCAGCCCTGGCTCCTTCCCCCGGGGCACAGGGCTGGCTGAGGTTTCCCAGATCCCAGGCCCAGCCCTCTTCTTCCCTCTGCACCTCCCTGGTCCTTGGTGGCTGAGTGACGAGGAGACCCTCGCAGGCTGCAGGTGCACAGGTGTCACTTTGCACCAGACCCATCCTGGACTCTGAAGAGGCAGAGAAATAAGCTGTGGCCATGCCCATCTGGCGAGCCTGGGTTGTTGGTGGGAGCCAGTTCCCCTCACAGGCTGAAAGTGTATGTGCACATGCTGTGTCTGGACCACCGAGCTGAGCGCCCAAGGCCTCCCTGGCAGGCTGGCTGTGGCTCACTGCCCCGCCCAGCCTCTCCAGGAGACTCTTCCAGAAGTCACTAACTCCAGAAAAGACCCAACTTCCCACTTATAAGTGTGGTTTCAGCTGAATGCACATCTCTTTCTCATCACAAACTTAAAACAGTCACAAGCTGAACTGTCATAAGCTGGGACCATCCGTACTGGATACTGAAGAGTCCAATCTGTACAGTCACAGTCCCTGCCTTTGGCGACCCTCTCTGAACTCAGTCTTGTGACAAAGAAGAAACTAAATTTCATTCAAGGCGAACGTTTACAAAATCCTGTCTGTTCTTCCTTCTCAAAGCCCTCATAATCTCCTTCTCTGTTGCATTGCTTCAGGGAGTCCTTTGAAATTGTTCCCTTTCCTCTTGAGTAGCCTTGTATAGACCTGGGTATGGATCAGTCTCCAGAGTTCAAGCTGTGAATTTGATGATTGAAGACTTTTGAAGTTAGCTTGCTCTGAGTGGCTATGGCATAATCCAGGGAGACAAACTTAGGCTGGTGGCTGGGAAAGAAACCAAGCTAAGAAAATGGGAGTATGCACAGAGGGAACCCCTGGGCTGGCACCCCTGGAGTCCCTGGTCAGCTTGGAGACCTCGGGCAAGCTGCTTGGTCCCCACACTTGTCCCTGTTGGAGATCAGTGTCTGGAACCTGACCCCTGGGGCTTGAGTCCCAGCATCACCACCCCCTGGTGGATGACTTGGAGCAAGACTTTCATTCTCTTGCTCCAACTCATCCATTCTCTTAAGATAGTTCCTCTATTTTAAATGGCATAATAGTGGCCTCTACCTTTGAGACTATTAGGATCAATAAGTGGGAGAATCCCTGGAGAGCACCACGCTTCTGCGTCTGCTGTGGCCGCAGCTGTTCTAGGAGAGGTGGGTATTTAAAGAGACAGTTTATATGCATTTCCTCACCTCCTTTCTGGGGCTCTCCAGGGGGGCCCAATTAAGCAGCTGCCTGTGCTCTGAGGTCTCCTAGAGGATAGGTGCTCATCACCCACCTGAGACTTAAGCTTATGGGGTTGAAAATCCTGAGGAGTAGAGTAAAAGAACCAAAGAGAAAGTGGGTGGGGAGGGCTTTCAGAAGGGAAAAGAAAAGAGTCTCAACTGCGGGAAGGGAAAGGTCTGCTGCCTGGGGCATCATCAGGACTGGACGTGGGTGGGGCATCCCAGGCCTCCATCCATGGCCCCACCAGGAAGATGAAGAAAGGTCACTAAGACCTTTCACAAGGGAATCTTGAGCCTAAGGCTTTGGGAATCAAGTGGTCACTCACCAGCGTGAGGCCGAGCTGTTCTCCAATGTGCAACAGAAAGAGGGCGGTGAGCACTCGCTGGCCAGAGCTGCGGCTTGCTTGGTGCCTCTGGACTCTGGCTGCTCTCCTGTGCCTCCTTGGCCCTCCTCATCTCTCACACTAACCTGGCTTCTCCTCAAGCTCCTCACTAGAGTGTGTCAGGGAAGGGAGGTGGAGGAAATGGGCTCTTCCATTTGCCTTTCTCGGCCCCTCTAATGGCCTTGGGCTCCACTGAGAACTCTTTACCCATCTCCCCATTGATCTAAATTTTCTGTGCCTTGTAGCTAAAAGGGCACCAGCATGTGAAACTCTGTTGTGGTGCAGAACATGAACCAAGGCCCGGGGGGAAGGCTGGGTCTCCCTTCATCAGGGTCACGGTCTACTCATTCCCGGGGCCTGGTCCTGTTTCCTCCAGGAGCTGGAATGCAGTGTCCTGCATGTCAGTGTGGCCAATGCCCAGTCCTGGTTTTGTGGGCTCATCAGGAAGCATCTGTTTCCTGTGACTGTTACGTCCTCTCTCCTTGCCCTTAGGGACATTCAGAACTGCAAATCTCCCCAGTAGCCTTATCTGGGTAGCTGGGGCAGCAGGGGATTACTCAAGCTGCATTCTGTGGGATAATACCTAATGGAATCACAATATCTCCAGTTTTTAAGGCAGAGCCAGATGGTAGGGGACAGGTCACTCTAGGAGGAAGCTCCTGTGGCACAAGAAGTGATGAAGGCCCGAGGTGGGGAGCTGGCCTAAGGACTCAGGGAGTGAGGAGGGGCTGATCACCACTGTTAATAGTAGGTGGTTGTCTCAAGCCATCCATGGGCTGTGTGTGAGCTATGAGCACCGTAGCTCTATGAGGGGACAGGTCTGGCATTGCTCCCTCATTGGGCTGCGAGATGCAACTGCGCCTCTCCTCTCGCTCTGCCTGTGATCCCACACAGCACCCGGAGATGGGTGTGACTTGCCAAGATGTCAATCAATCTGCTGACCGCAAGACATCAAGAAGCAAGACTCCACCTTTGAAACCTTCTCCCCTGCCTTATTTGGTGAAGAACATTCCATCGAAACTCTCCCCATAAAAATAGATTCCAGGTGCACACTCTCTTTTTCAGCTGACCCTTAAGGTCGCAGAGCCGTCCTACCCTCGATATGAAAAGTTACTTCTGTGTTCTGTGCTTTTTCGCTGTTTTCTTAGCTTGATGTTGCGTCCAGCTCTTGTGAACCCAGTGGTACCTGACGCAGTGCTGGTGGGTCTTTGATGAAGGAATGAGTGAACTACCACAAAGCCCCAGGGACGCTGCACAGGATCCAGGAAGAGGGGGAAGGACTAGTCTCAGAAAGGACACCTGCCCTGTTGAAATCAGGGAACAGACCAGGACGGGCAGGTGCAGGTGCTGGGACAGGAAGGCGACACCTCCCTCCGAGGGAGAGGTTGGTGACCTCCCTCCGAGGGAGGGGTTGCTTCGCCATCTGGGATGGAGGAAGGATGTGGTGATGAGGATAACGGCAGGGTTCTCTCCTACAGCCACGGCTGTGTTCTGTACCAGGTGTCTGCCCACCTCCCCTCATTCCAGGACATCTGCTCCCAACTGTATGCAGACTTAACTCAACTGCTGGGTGAGGAAAGGGGAGCTCCAGAGAGGTGAGAGGAGCTGCCCTGGTTTGTCTGAATAAGCAGGTGTGTCAGCCCTGCAGAGGAAGTGGGTGCAGAAGCAGGAGCCAACTGGTTGCCTGTAGGGACTAGAGATGGGGCGATACGGCTGGTGTGGGTGGTGCGTGGCAGATGGAGCAGAAGCAGGAGGCCTGGGCAGTTAAGTGCCCACCGTGCAGGCAGAAAGGGCGGGGAAGCAAGCTTTACATCTGAGACTAGTGTTTTTTCAGCTGTGATTTGTATAGAATACAAAAACGAGTTCCTCGGGTATCTCTGAAAATAGAGCCTCAGACTCCTGAGTGAGCTGGGAACTAGCTAAAGGTGCAGCTTGGAGAGTTGGAATCTGGCCCCAGAGAGGTCATTTTTTACTGATTTGTGGTCACACACACAGTCCTTAGCTTGAAAACTGGATCTCCACCTCCATCCTTGATTACAGGATGTCCACCAATGATCAGGAGTTTGCCTAAGTATGTGTTGGTAGATTAAAAATAACTTAAAAGATTATAGGTTCTTTAAGAATTGACAAAAGACGCTGAGCTCAGTTTGGTCACAGGTTTAGAAGTCCCTTGGGACATTTGGGTATTATGACACAAGGGGCAAGAGTGAGCAAGGCCTCAGGAGAAGGAAACCAGACAAAGCCACCTGTTAGGTGAAGGAGGTGAAGTCTTCAGAACAATTCCAGTTGGCTCGCCTTTCACCTTCTGGCTTTTCTTCAGCCTGGAGAGGAACAAAGAAGTCTTGTGAGGTCACTGGTCCTGATAGCGGCCTGAATGACACACAGAGGAGAGAGAAGCACAGGACTTACTGAGCTCTCCTTTCAGTTTTTCTGCAGAAGGACCAGAGGGTAATCAGTCTCCAGTGGAGGAGCCAGGTGTGTTGGCAAAGGGCCCTCTGGGAGACCTACTGGGGTCCGCACACTGAGTCCCTGAGCTGTCAGGGAGCTGGACTTGAGGTCACAGCCAGGGTCATAGCTCTGGTGGGGTAAGTGGGGTAAGGTTGGTCCAACACGTGGGGAAGGTCAGCATTAGAACTTCAGGCGCCCTCTCCTCACCCTGTCCCTGTCCGGTCCCCTTTCCACTTGTGAGTCTCTCCGGCTTGGTCTCTGAGGGCCTTACCTTTGGCCCGCCGATCTCGCTCTCTCTCCTGGTAAAGTTTCCAGGTGAACCCAAGTGTGCCCACCAGCAGAAGCACCACAAAAAGCAAGAGTGAGGTCCCAGTGGCCACCCAAGGGGAGCCCTTCAGGAAGAGAGTGTCTGGGTCAGAACTGCTGAGCATTATTCCTGTGAAGGAAAATAGGACAGGGCTGGGAGACGCTGGAGCTGTACACAGGGTGCCCCAGGATCCCCAAGATTCCTGATCCAGCCAGGTGACAGGGAGGGACCTGGCTGGGACAGTGACTCTAGTTTTGCCCTATCATTTGTCACAGGATAATGAAGAAAACTTGAAAGTCATTAAAAAAAAAAAAAAAAAAAAGTCCCTGGGACTCAGGGTTAACTCAGGAAGGCAAAAATCACCCCCTGGCATATAGGACTGAAACTGAGGTCCCAAGACATGGCTGGAATTGCTCCTTTTCCCCACGAGGTAACTTCCACTGAGAATCAGCGTGAACAGGTTCCCCTTGAACAACTTGCAATTGTTGCATGAGGTACTTTGGTTGGGAAAAGAAGGACTTAGCCCTGAGTGCTAGTTGCAACTAGTACTAACTAGCCCAACGTGTGACTCTGGCCAAGACACCCAGTATCTCTGTCTCAGTTCCCTAACTTGTGAAACGGAGGGTCACCTGTGGAGATGGACATGCTGTTTACCCTGCTTTGATCAGTACATTTAAATTTCCTGGGGACTGCTCCTGCTTTGGGAGAGAAAAATTGTTGAGATCCCTGTGGAGTCACTACAGCCTACAGACAGGTGTCAGGCTCTCGTTTCAGATCTGACACTAAATGGTGTTATCTGGAGATGGGCTCTTGAGTCCCTTAACTGAGATGGGCGCAGTCCTTCCGAGGCTGCACAGTTGGACTTCACTAGATCCCTGCTCCTTCCTGGGAGATGAGAGGAGCTGGGTTCCCTCTAAAGCAGATTCCCCTCCCTACTTGCTGCCACCAGACACCCAGATGGAGTACAGGGGGGAAGAGCAGAATCAAAGCCCTTGCCTCGGGGAGCCTCTGTGCTCCAGTTCACACCCACCCCCCTGCACCCCACTGCCCCTCTCGGTCACTCACAGCTCTCTGCTCCTCTGATCCGGTCACTCTGGGGTTCAGATGCTGTCCTTCAGTTGGACTCTCCTTGCCTCCTGCTTCTCAAACTGGGAGGCGGGCAAGTGAGGAGAGCCTGAGCCAGGTATTGCACAGTTGTCTAAGATCTGAGTCTGGCCAAGGTCGGTCTCTGTGCCCCCTACCCTCCAGCACAGGAACAGATTGGGACAGCACGACCTCTGGACATGCACTCTTCCTTCTGCATTTATGATGTATGATAGTGATCATTTCCGGGGACAAAGCCAGGTGTGGAGCCAGCCCCCACAGCTCAGCCCCACAAGCCTCCACGCAGCACTGTTGTTACCTGGCAAAGGCTTTGAGCCCATGGGTGTCAGCAGAATCCCACACACATGGGTAGTACAGTGCAGGCTCTGGGAGTGGAGAACACAGGGAAACCCAAACCCAAACCCAAACAAGTCTTCCCCATCACCATGCAAAACACATCGCTAAACCCTGTCGACTTCTTTAGATCCACTGATAGTCGCAGAAAGGTAGGAGCCATGGAGCAGGGGGCTGTTTCTCAGGAGCAAGGTCAGATAGGATGAAGTCAGAGAAAAGTCAGGGAAATTTCAGAATAAATAAACATTTTGGGTTTCACAACACTCTGAGCAGTGTGATGCAATTCTGTGCTGTCCAAGGGAGGCGTGGGCCATCCCTTTGCCCAGCGTTTCCATGCCAGCTGTGCCACCTGCCCGTCAGGGCACTTCCTAGCTGTCTCTAGGGTCAGATGGGCCATCTCAGAATCACAGAATGAGTGCATGTCGAGGAGTGAAGTAAGAGTTGAGCTAGTTGGGTGCAGCATTCCCATGGTTCTGGTAGGAACAAAATATGTAAGTATGAACAAAATGAACTACGAATTCTAGGAATTATAGAAGAGATTGTAGAAAAAGAAAAAAGCTTCATATCTTCATATTTTTAATAGCACTTCTTCCTGCCTTTTGAGCAAAGGAACTCATGTTTTCTTTTTTTTTTTTTTTTTTAAATATTTTTTTAGTTGTCAATGGATCTTTTATTTCATTTATTTATATGTGGTGTTGAGGATCGAACCCAGGGCCTTGCACGTGCTAGGCAAGTGCTCTACCACTGAGCCACCCCTCACCCCAAACTCATGTTTTCATTCTGCACGGAGCCTTGTAAAAGGCAGCCAGCCCTGAATGGGCGTGGCGTTTGCTGGAGGAGGAGTGAAGAAGAGAGTTTCCTAGTGTGATTCTGTGTTGACCTGGGGACAGGGTCCCTGCTGGGACAGGGGAGCCTGGGGCCAGGGAGGTCGTGAACAACCGGGTACACGTGGCTTTTGAGATGCCTGAGAGACGTCTAAACCGCACAGAGTCAGGCAGTTGGAGACGCTGGTGCTTGGGAGAGAGGTTCTTCATAGAGGGAGGGACAGGCTCATGCACATGGCCAGAGCATTCAGGAACAGAGAGAGGCCCAGGAGCTCCTGCTGGGAAACCTGGAAGAAACAGGAACAGTGAGGAAGGAAGCACACGTGTGATAGATCAAGGGAGCCTTGCCCACACGTGACACTCCCAGGTGCAAGAAACTACACCTCTTTATGTTTTAAAAGAAAATTAAATTCTGTCCTTGGATTCCAGTTGGAGGTTTGGCAAGAAGTCCTCTGGCCAGTCCTTTTGCGTATGGCTCCCGACTTTCTGCCGGTGGAGCAACAGTCTCCAGATCTACACCATTTTGCAAACCTCAAGGGATGGCTGCATTGGCATCGTGTATCTTAGCTAAGAGAAAAGGATCCAAAGAGGAAACGTGCAGGCTGTCTCCTGTCTTCTCTGCCCACCCCTTTGCTGCCTCTCTGTAGGCACAAGAGGTAGACTTAAGAGTGATGCAAATACAACTTAATCAGGGGGCCTTTCCCAGGGCCTGTATTTAATTTATATGCATCAATTTTGTATTTTTTTTTTCTTAAAGAGAGTCCTGAAAGTATACGAGCTTCAGGCCCCTGTGAGGCACTCTCCCCTCCTATGTAAACGCTGCATAACGTTCACAGCAAACCCCAAGCAAGCTGATGGGCTGCTGTGCTCTAGCCTAGGTGTTCTCACTGAAATGTGGATGCTACCCACTTCCTGTGATGCTCCTCTCATTTGCTATGTTGCCCAGTTTGGTCTTGAACTTGTGGGCCTAGGTGATCCTCTCGTCTTGGCCTCCCAAGTAGCTGGGACTACAGGATTGTGCCACTACACCTGGTGTAGTGAATATGCAAGTCGTGCATACTGCTCACAGCACTGCCAGCTTTTATGACAGATATATTCAAAATTTCAGTCACTTAACCCTCTAGCCCTTGACTCTTTGCTCACATAATTGTTGATGCAGTTCTTCCCTCTGGGCTGGCACGTTTCATTGCTGGGACTCCTTTCTGCAGGGGGGAGGGGGGTCAGGGTGGTTCTCTGGGTAGCCTTGGACTGGCCCAGTTCTCCCCCATTTCTTTTACTTATTTATTTATTTTTGGTATTGGGGAATTGAACTCAGGGGACTCAACCACTGGCCCACATCCCCAGCCAGTATTTTACTTAGAGCAGTGTCTCACTGAGTTGCTTAGCGATTCACTTTTGCTGAGGCTGGCTTTGAACTTGTGATCCTCCTGCCTCAGCTCCCGAACTGCTGGGATTACAGGCACGCCCATTTCTTGCTAGTAGTTCTCAAGAATGGTTGTAGAATGTTCTAGGAATGCAATATGTTGAGATAGAAAGGAAGTACCTGAAACAGCCTGGTCCTGGTTCCTGGCTTCTGCAGGGAGGGAAGTCATGGAGGAGCTGTTGAGGACAACCTTGGCTTCGACCTCTCTCCCTGGAGACAGGACATCTTTCAAAGATTCAGCCCAGTAAGTCTCTGAGGTTTCTGACCCAGGAAGGGATGCTTTACAGTGGTGCATGTGGGGCGAGTGTGATTAAGACCCTGTCCCCCAGGGCAGCTTTCCAACGCCTTGGCCACCAGCAACTTTTGTCCCTTGCTGTCCTACCTGCAAGTGCAGATCTGCTTTGCTTAACTGGCTGCAGCAAGTGTTCTGTCTCCCCAGACCCAGGTTGGGGAGCTGCGTGAGGTGAAACTCCTTTGCAAACCCAAGCAGTGTGCAGGGTCCTGTCTGATAGAAGCATGGCTTTCTGGGAGAGCAGGAGGGACAATACCCCCCAGTAGCCAGCTCAGGGAAGAGACATCAACCTGCAACTAGATGATAAGTGGGATGTAAAGTCACACCGTCTGAACTCCACGGAGGAGTGAGCTGGGCCCGTGGACCATCTCAGAGGAAGGAAAACAGAAACAGGGGAGTATAGAATGTGATTCCTCTGGTTGTTGGGTACTTTCGTGCTTGCTCATTCCTGGGGCCAGAGCACTCAGGAATGGACAGTCAGGTGGACCCGGAGTCCATCTGTACTCAACACATGCATGTTCTTCTGGTCATTATTTCTTAATACATTAGTTAAGGGCTTCTGCAGGAAGGGGGACTCACTGCCTAAGGGAGAGACGAGGGAGGGCTTACGCTGTCTGTTGGTGTGCTCGCTGGGTAAAGCAGCATTGCAGACCCAAGTTTCCGGGGGTCAACGGTGAAGTTGTAAATAGGACCAAACTGTCTAGGTCCCCATGGGAGGCCAGTGACCCTGTGCTCCTGTCAAGAGGAAAAGGGAAAAGAGAGACAGCTCAGAGTTTCCTGAGAGTCTTAGGTACTAGAGGCCACACGACAATCGCTTCAGGTTCCCTGAGGGGAAAAATGAAACTGGTGACGTTAAGAAGATGGGGGATGAACACAGTGACCTGTGACCCTTATTTCCCCGAGGGTGGGGCCTTGGGGCCACTTTGGTTGTGGGCGACTGGTTCACACTGCCAAGTGTATCGTAGGCTTTGACACTGGCGCTGCTTGTGGTAGAGAATATCACCCTCCCTGGGGGGTGACGCCCCCTCCCAGGTGAGAATTCAGGTCAGGAGGGTGGGATGTGCCTCCTCCTGCCTGTCACCTGGACGACCAGGCCCCCATATGTCCTTCAATCAAAGCCATATTGCCTACTAATGGAGAACAGGACATTATAGAGTTAGTTCAAGGCTGGTGGCAGATAAAAATGTTGCAGCCTGTTCTGTCACAGTGTGATACCCAGCCTGCGGCACGGAGAAGCTAACAATGGACAGTAGCAAGTTCAATGCCAAGGTGGACTGGACTAGAAGCCAAAAAATGTGTTCCAGATACAGTCAAGCAAGAGTCGTGACTCTGGAGGCACTGGGCACGGGCTGACAAAAGGGAGACCCAGCAAGTAGGAGGCCCCGGTGGCAGACCCGCAGCTGTCCCATCTGGGAGTTCGCTTGCCTTCCCGTCAAGGTGACTAGCAAGGCCAGCCGTCTTGAATGGGGCCTTCTGAGGCCCCAGCATGACCCAGGCACTGCCTCTGAAGCCTTTAGAGCCTACTGGCTGCAGTTTCTCCCCAACCGCCATGACTGTCGAGTGGGGTCTGGTCCCAGAACACTGCCACCAGGGACATCAGCCTTTCAGAATTTGAACACTTACACAGCCTGAGGGAACCTTTCACCTGGCAACTCTTTACATGCACACCAAGTCCTAAGGGGGGTAAATAGATTAAATGATAATCCTCGCCACTGATCAGAAGGCTCCTTTTAGGTATCCTCGTTTTGTGGATCTGAGCCGCGTGATCATCTAAGCTTGGAAGTGCTAAAGTCAGAATTAACTCATGGGGGACTTGGGTGGAGTAAGAAGATAGCCTTTCACGGAGGAGATGCTTCCTACTGCCGAGGTCCGCTGGAGGAGTCAGAAGGCTTTTTATGCCACTCCTTTTATTCCACAAGTGCAAATAAAAGACTTCAGATTAATGTAAAGAAGTGGAGCAAATGAGTTTTTAAGCCAAGGGTAAATAATGATTCTCTCTGTTTCTCTCTCTCCAACGGGGGGTCTGGGTGTCTACACCCTGTCTTTCAGGAACTAACTATTCCCTCAAGGATGCAAATGTGAAATAAATAGAGGCCTTGCTTTTCAGAGCTTGTCTGATAAGGGCTAGGGTTAAAAAGTCCACAGGCCCTGGACATCTGAAACTGAGCACCGAGAGAAACTAACTTGAGAACCAGAGGAAACTGGATATCACAAGGCTGAACTTCTCCAATTCCACAATCGGCCTCAACACAGACCCTTTTAGAGGCAAATAGAAGTGGAGCTTCCAGATAGGTGCTGCACTAGTGGATACTGAGCCTTTACAGGCCTCTGCCTTCCTCCTCTGTTGAGAATGACCAGTTACTGGGGTACCCCACCACTGCCCTGCCCTGCTTTCTAACCTTGGTGGTGTGCTGTAGCGGATTCACTGGCTCCTGGGGAACCAGTCCTGCATACCTGTCTCCAACGCAGCGTTCAGTGACGTTAGAGACTTCTGATCCACAGCTCAACTCAGCCATGGGGGCAGAGTTTCCACTATAGAAATGGCTAAGCACGGCACCAGGCTAGGGTTTCTCCTGGAGAGGCCTTTACCAGCACACCAC